GTGATAAAACATTCTGAGCACTTCCTTCCCTGGCTGAAACCAGAGATATGCTACCAGCCCCAAAATAGAAAATGCTTCAGCTTAAATTGATTACTAGTTCCCTTGATAGTTTTGGTGAAAGTGAAGATGGACAAGACAACTTTGCTGGAGTTCTTGAACATATCAGATATTCCTAACATTTAGAATCCTGTACAGTTTTGGGGTTGGAAGAACTGAAGCTCTTTGTGATAGATAGGTGTCGCCATCTGTGCCAACAGAAAAGGAACAGAAGCACGAATTTATTGAAGATATTTCCCTGATGTTCAAATGCAGTTGCAGAAACTTCCTGATACTCTCCCATACACCACATTGATTCACAACACCTGTACAGAACATTAAGCCAAACAGGTTGTCTTTACTAAAGAGTTGTTGTGAATAGTATTCTATTCCACTAGAGAGCTGAGACAACCACCACTTTTTTTAAAATGCAGATTTAGTCCAAGACTGATTCCTTCTCCAAAAACCTAAATACTTTCTGAAAAAAAATGTTGACTTTCACAGAAGGATTATTCTATGTGAAAAGAATTAAGACATTTTTCAAATATTTCAAAATAAATGCATAATATTTGTGATTAGAAATTACTGAAACAAAACATTTGAAATATATAGACTGGAAACCTTAAAACAAAGACCTCAAATGTTGACTTCTGAAATTAAGGTGACTTCTTGTTTTACAGCCAGCCATAGTAGAACTTCCTTGTATCTTTAAAGAATAGTGTGTATAATACAGCAGCCTTCAGGGTATGTAACAAGACATTAAAGGTCAACTTTTAGAATTTAGTGTGGACTGTAACAATACAGAAGAATTGAATCTCAGTGCTCTTGGTCTTTCATGGTTACAGCCTCTGTGCTTGCTCATTGTATTTAAGTTTCATAAATTGTTCAGAACTTTATCAATAGAATTAACAGTCAAAATAACACTTCTCAACATCTGGTTCATATTCTTGTCCCAGTTATGCTGGTGCAACTCTAAATTAAACTGAATGCCTTACATGAAGTCACTCTAAATTTATGATGGTATTCGGAAGAAGCGGACTTGGTTCTTGGTCTTTAAAAAATGTCAGTGTTTGCAGCCAAATAAAATCACATGTGGTTACATCCTCTGTGGCACAAGATTGCCATCCAGCGGCAATTCCCAAACCTGTATTTTCCGAAGGCATTCCCGGAGAGTTGACCAGCAGCCCGTACTGGTTATACCTCCCAATCTGGCAGCTGCAGATCCAAACTCCCAATAGCCATGGTTGGGCTGAGAGGAACATTTCTATTTAAAATTCATAACTTATCTCCTTTTTTTTTTTTAATCAGTTTTCCATATTGAAACAATTTAGGCAGTGAATGTAGAGTGTTGCCTCCTTAAGAGCAGGAACACGCTGAAGGGGGCGGCCCCTGCCACAGCTACCCTCAATACACACCTATGGTAGGGCTGCAGCTCAGCTAAAGCACTCTGCTGCTCCTCAGCCCCCTCTGACGGCACAGCGTTGGTCAGATCTGAGAGGCACACACCAATGCCAATTTAAGCAGCCTTGCACAGAGCTTCACCACCTGCTCTGGTGTGCCCTGTGCAGGGGAAGGAGCTGAGAGTGCGAGTGATCAAGCTTTGAGGCTGGTTTCATGCGAATACTTATGCACTGAGACATCAATGTGACTACTGATATCTCTGATCTGCAAAGAACAGGCCCTGAACTCAGACCTTCTACTTCCTGCATAAATGCTTTACCTGCTCTAGTAGATCATAAAACTGTCTTTTAGAGGGAATGGGTACAGTTGCAGTTGTGAAGACTGAGTGTGACTGGCATCCATTAGAGGGGTTTGAGAACTACCTCTTGAACTGAGCCACTCTGGGGACCTGAATGGAGTGACACTAAGTTTTTAGTTCCTGATTGAGTTAAGATATGAAAGAGTGCCAAGCTGCTTAGTCCTGTTGAACTGGTGCAGGTCTAGGCACATAGAGAGGCTCTACACAATAGATTATAGCTTATGTGAAAATAGGAAAGGTGGTTTGGGAATCTAGGCACGATGTAAGGTTAGACACAACTCACTGGGGTTTTTTCACCATCTCTGTTTTAGATTTAAAAGCTCAAATTCTGCCCTAAACCCTTTTTTTTTTTTTTTTTTACTTGTTCCATAGCCAATAAAATAAATTCTGGTTAAAACCCCTTGTAAAACCCCATGCTGATTGTACTGATCTACCTTATCCTCTGTCTTACCCTCCTCCCCATCTGTAATGTTTTCCTTTGTAGTTAACTTAACTCTCACAATGCAGATGTGTATGAATGACTATGAATGGTTCATGGGTCTGTTTGGCCTGACTGCCCTCAGATTAAATCATTTCATACAACATTCCCGTTGGTGTTCTACATGCATCTTACCTCTAAATAGAAATTAAGTTATCTGGGGTTGTGGAGGCACCATTGCAGTCAATACTTGCAAGGCTGAGCTCATCCCAGTGGACATCCATTTCTGCCATGTTTCTTCAGGAGCTGCAGAGACAGGAAAACCGATACTTTAATTTCTAGGTACAATTCCATTGTGATGCATCTCCTGCACCAGCATGTGAGATGAGATGCTGAAGGTCCAGGTTTCTCCTATGAGCTGTACAGCACTGGAGTTTCTCCCTCTAACTTCTGTAAGAGACCAGTGGGTTATGTATAAAGATAATGATAATTTCCCATTATTTCTATGATCACATTCTACTTCACATTTCACTCTGTTCAAGAATGACCAAGTATACACTAAAATGGTACAAATCAACTATTTCACCTAGAATTGGTCTAGCCTAAGTAGTTGTACCCAGAAGTACCCGAATTATTAAGAAGCATGGAAAAGAAATTATGCACAAACATCTTGCATTGAAGGATAAATACTCAAATGCTGAAAATGAGACTCATTCTTAAGGACTAAAATTAATACAAAACAATGAGACTTTTATGTGTCTTAATTCCAGAGCAGGTAAGCCAAAAACAAAACAAAAAAGCGTCCTCAGACATTTTCATAGTTTGATTAATTTTCTGCTAATGAAACCAATGCTGCAATCAGCAATTCATTCAAAATTTAAAATAAGAAATTGAAAAAAATATAAGAAAAAACAATTCAGAAAAATTGTTTCAAAAGAAAGCTTCAAAACAAAGCAGAACCCAAAATCTTATTATCAGAAACCCAGGTCCCATAAAACAGGACAAATCTTTTGCCAGTCTTTTCTTGGGTAAGCTCCCTTCTTCTGCATAAAATTTTATTGCTGGCTCCTGTGCACAGGTAGAGCAGCCTTATCTTCTTGGAATGGGAGTGCTCTATCATTGCAAAAGGCTGCAGTGGGCAGTTGAAGTGACAGGATTAATACTGATTTGTTGTCCAAGAGAAGCTTTGGAGCAAAGGTGGGATACAGAGACAATCACAATTTACATTTTCTGACACCTTTTTTGAGGCTTTCTATTTCAGAAATAAAAAATATTGATAGAGGGGTGTTTAAATTTAGTGAAGCCCTGACAATTTTCATATTTGACTAGAAATGAAAGGACAACTGGCATAATCTCACCCTTTCAAAGGAAGAGTCAAAACAAAATGCTCTCTGAATATACTAAAGATCTGCCACCTCCTGTTTCTAGTGTGGACAATACAACGACGGAAATAATTAGTTAATCTTTCGTTTAAATAAAGCGTTTGGGGGAAAGGCTAAAAATAAACACTGATTCATTCCTTGTCAGGGAAGTTTCTCCTGTCAATTATCACATTGTTACTGCTGTTTTTAATCTAGTCAGATGGTGAGATTGGCAATCCTTTCTGCAGGGGCTTCTGGGTGTTATTTCGTGGAGAATCTTGCTTGAAGGACTGATTACTGCTTTTATGGGAGCCAGTGGGAGTTTGGCCGCAGTCCTTCACGCATGTTAATTTGAGGGACTTCCAAATGTTAGCTAATGATCTCAGAGTTCTTTTTATGAAATATGTGTGGGTTTGTTTGGGGGTTTTGGTTTTGTTGTTTGTTTGGTTTTTTCTTGAATTCCTAGGAGGATTCAATTAAGAGGGTCTGGAGAAAGTGCTGCACTGTAGCTCTGGACTGGCCTCTCAATAACGCCTGAGTCCAAGCATGAAAAATTCAGAAGTACATATTGCTACCACACTCAGATATATTATACATAATATATTAAAACCAAATGTATTTGTATTATTCACATAGTGCAGGCCACATGCTTTGCATTGCTATGGACTGGGTCCATCTCTTGGCCTCCACTTATGGTTACTTGAAAAAGCAATTACACTTGTTCTGGTTTTTTTTTTTTTTAAAGAGCAATACTAAGGAAAAAGTAGCCTTTGCCCCAAAGCAGGGAAAAACGTCAACATGGAAAATAGAGGTACACGTGGGTGGGGGAGTTTCATTCCTGTTTTATGAAGCTTTATATACCTGTAAAGGAGAAACGGGGAAAAAAGAGAGCCGGTGGCAGCTGAAGCAGCTGAGCAGAGAGCCAAGGACACAAGTCCAAGCAAGCGCTGGGGCTGCGGCTCAGAGAAAAGCACGCAGAGGGATCTTTGGGCTAAACGCTGACTTAAAAGGGCTTGGAACGGAGCGCACAAACACTGCTCCCTGTGCTCCCCCTTCCCACCGCCAACAAAAGAACTAATTTTATATATACATATACATATATTTATATATATATATACATGTTTGTTTCCGGCTGTATTCAGGCCAGAAACGAGATTTTATACATTCTTCATGACTAACAGGGCAGTGAAAGACTAAGGCACGTTCCTCCCGGCAAGGCACAGAGCCCTCAGGACCCCACGCCTCCCGGGCACAGCCTCCTGGGCCGGGGACCCACCGACGGGCACCCTTCCCCTATCGTGCCCCTGCCCCGAGCGCGTCCCCGCCCGCGGCACCCGCGGCGGCATCGCCGGCCGAGCGGCCCCGACACCGCCCCGAGCGGCCCCAGCGCCCCCGCCGGCCGCGGGAGGGGACGGTGAGCCCGGGGAGGGTGAGCCCGGGGACGGTGAGCCCGGGGAGGGTGAGCCCGGGGAGGGTGAGCCCGGGAGGGTGAGCCCGGGGAGGGAGAGCCCGGGGAGGGCGAGCCCGGGGAGGGTGAGCCCGGGGAGGGCGAGCCCGGGGAGGGTGAGCCCGGGGAGGGAGGAGGCGCCCGGCTGTGCCCCGGGGAGGGGACGGGAGTCACTGCCGGGGCTCCCGGACCCGCGGGGTGGAGTGAGGGGGCCGCGGCCGGGGATCCCCCCTCGCCCCCGGGGTGGGCTGAGCGCCTGAGGCGGGGGGTGCCCTGTGCGGGCAGAGCCGAGGGGCGGCCGCGGGCTGGGTGCGCTCCTGGCCGCTCGCCGGCTCATGGGATTCTGTTTTTCCTCTTTTTCTTCCCCTTCCCCCCGTCCCTGTCAGGACGAGCCCAGCCGTGGTGGGGATCAGAGCATCAGAGGCGAGGGCGGCGAGGCCCTGCCCGCGGGCGGTGGCCCCGCTGGCCCCCGCAGCATTCAGAGCCCGCCCGGTGCCCGCCGAGGAGCAGCAGCAGCGCCCGGGCGGCCGGAGCTCCGCCCGGAGGAGCAGGGAAAGGCGGTGAGGGCTCTGAGAGCATCCATGCACGCCCAGCATCCCAGGGAGCACCGAGACAGCCCGCCAGCGCACACAGCGGCACCGCCGTGCAGCGGGGCAGGGGCACAGCTGTGTGCAGCTGTGCTCAAAGTCGCTTCCATCCTAAGGTACGAAAGGAAACAAAGCGCATGAAAGGAAGGAAGCGGCGTCAGCGCTCAGCAGCCACGACACCGCTGGGGAGAGGGACCTGCGACTTCCCCGGTGCTGCGCAGGAGGTCCGTGGTAGGGACAGCCAGAGCTCTTTTCCTTGCTCCCAGTTTAGGAGATTCACCACCCTGCTTTTGCTCATTCCCTTTTCCACAATCAAAGAGCATAAAGCACAAAATGCCTTCTTACCGAGCAAAAGACAAACAAAGAAATGCAACCATCCAAAACCCAAGCCAAAGTGCATCTGGCTTGGGATGAATACTGGACCATGTCATCTGGGAGTGAGAATTTTTCAGAAAGCCAGACTCCAGTCCAAAATGGACCCTGTCATTTGGAGTCTGAATATGAAAACAGCTTGCAAAACATTTTTTCAGGCTTCTGACAAAAGAGTTGGTCCTTCTTTTGCTCTGGTATCTAGGCTACATTGTTCAGGCTCATGCATATCACTGGTTTTATTCACATGAGTAATTCCATTTGAATTTGGAGCGACAACGTGTATGTGTAAAGTTACTCATATGCTTTCTGTCTCCTTTATATATTGAAATTATGTGGGTTTGGGTTTTTTCCATTTGCTGGTGCAGCCCAGTAACTGTTGGCATCATGGTTATTGTGAACCATCATGGCTATTATTACTGTTTGTCCACTGACACCTTTGTTTTCCTTGCCAAACTAAAATCCAGCTATGCCTCTCTACGCAATCTATTCCAGCTATGCAATTGTATCATCTGTTTTTATACAACCGTCTTTCACCTGACTGTGTAAATTCATCTTCCCTATAAAAGATCTTTTTGTACTCAGCTTTTCCTCCAGTCATGACTGGCAGTCATTCCAGTTGTGCCATCTGAGTCTTTCTCACACTATGACTTCTCCCATACAGTTTAATCTAAATTCATACTGATTCTAACATGATATCTGGATGTTCTAATATTTGCCAGTTGGAACACTTTATTATTCTTATTGCCAAATGCCCTCTCTTTCTTCCTTCATATTTCTTCAAGCTACAGCTTCTGCGATTCTCATAACCTTGTATGCCTTCTCTATCTCATTGCTCCATGTTTGTCTAAGGGCAAAATGTCTCAGGGACAAGAAAAACACAATGTTGATCTTGCATGAAGTGTGGCATTAAGTTTTAAGTGCGGGCGAATGTTTTATTAGATGCTTCTTTTCCTCAGTCAGGGAATATAAAGAACAAATAAGTAAAATTCAGTGCAGACCTTTTGCTTTTAATGGGAGATAATAGCTTTCCACTGATATACTCTCAGCTGTCAAGTATATACTCTAGTATCCTAATTTGTGCCTGAGGAGAGAAGGCAGGCTGGGCAGCCACTGATTCCTTTTGTCAACCAGAGTCTTTCTTCCTAACCTAGAAAATTTTGTGCATTACTATGAGTAGAGTCTCCCTTAGGAAATAAAGTATTTTGAAGTTGCTTCAGCAGCAGGTCACAAGCTGTCAAGAAGATGCATTCAGTCACACCTAAGGACAGATTTATTACATTCAATCTCCAGGGCATCTGCCTACTGGATCTTGAAAGAACCCAGCTGGTTAGTTTTTGTGAAAGCCCCAAATGATGCCTTCTAGGAACATTGAAAACTGCTATTTCCAGGGGAAGGGGTGATGACCCCTGTATTGAAATGACCCGTTCCAGTGGTGACAGGACAAATTACTTCCAAGGAAAGGGTAAAAGGCCAAATACATCTTGAGACTGTGCTATGATCATGGCAGAAGTTTCTCATTTCTTTTATCCTAAAGTGCAAGAACCAGGAACTGTATTTCCTCCCTCTGTCATATCTAGAGCATGAAAAATCACCTGTTTGTCTCCTTCATATTCAGACTCCTGAGTAACTCCTGAGGAGCCAACTTCCTGCAGGAACACTTTACAGTCAGGGTGTCCATCCCAGCTGTGTGGTAAGACCACAACAGAGACTGAGTTCTGCCTATGGATGGAGGATCCTAAACAGGATCCTAAATAAGATCTGAAAAGCAGATTAGATTCCTGAAGTAAATAGTCTAATAAGGACCAAACACCCCCCCCCACACACACACACATACAGTCTTTGATTATCAGCATGAACTTTTGATCAGGCGTGGTTGGTGCCCTGGATTTGTATATCCAAAACATGCTATACTTGTGCCACCTATGGATGTGTATTTAGGGAAGCTCTTTCTCAGAAACTTCATTCAAAATTGAATTGCAGTCAAACGATTAATTGCAGTGCTGGAAATCATAATTGACAGATTACCTCAGGAAATCTACTAATCAAAACTATATACTCTAATTTTTATTTATAAAAAAGCCTCATTCTAAAAAATTAAAGCAAAACAAACAAAAAATCCCAACAACAACTGAAATTTTAATTTATTAAGGAAACTAAGGTGGTATAGATGTATTTAATTTTGTCTGTACCATAAAATATATTTCAATACAGAGGCAAAAAAAATTTTTTGATTCATATACTAGAGCTGTATATAAGAATGTAACAATCCCAGCAATATTTTAAATACTGAATTTCTTTTTTCCAGATACTACCTTCTCCATCATATTTGGGAAATAGTTGCAATGTTTACTGTATTTTTCCAAGTTTGTATTTTTGTATTTGTTTCATTAAAAAGTAGAAATATAGCTATCATATAGAATATAAAACTGGATATATTTATACTTCTCTATTTAATAAGTTAATTTATTACAACTAAAAAACTCACCTTGTCGTAGAGATGAAATACTGCTACACAGCACTGCTGACTGCAAAGAACTTTCTTTTCTGGTTGAAAGCTTCTAGAAAAAAAAACCAAAAGACAATATATTAGCAATGTCAATTTGCAAAATTTAATTTTGGAATTATATGCAAACATATAAATTTATTATGAACTTTTAAAATTAGTTTTAATATTAATGTGATCAGAGTTAAAGAAATGCAGTACCTTGCCTGCAGAGCTCCAGAAACAGGCAGTGAGCTTTCCTCAGGGAGAGATCTGAGATACTCTGCTCTGTTTTGCAGTGAAGGTGCCCGTGCCCTCGGTAGGACTCCAGAAGTAGCAGTTACATACAGAGGTTTACAGTACATAGAAACTGTAATTATATGTGGCTGTTTCAGCAGAGTCACACCCTTTAAAATACCTGCTCACTTCAAAAAGCATTTTGAAGCACTAAATATAGCAGTGATAATGTTTGCAAATACTACCTTAAAATTGTTAAAATTCAACTCAAAGCTATTCAACATAAAAGCCTCACAGTTTTTCATATTCAACATAAGCAAATACTACCTTATTCAACATAAGCAAATACTACCTTAAAATTGTTAAAATTCAACTCAAAGCTATTCAACATAAAAGCCTCACAGTAAATTTTTAATATCTCCACTCTAAGCTTTATACAGTAAGGTTGTTACTGTTTTACTTGAAAGTAGCTGTAATTTTTCTGAACCCTGAAACTGTGATGGAGCCGTGTCCCCTGCTTTGATTCGTCATTTTACAAACCTTCTTTCTGTCCTTCTCCCTGTAACAAGCAATACTGCTTTCCATCTCCCTCCTTTTGTCTTCAGTGCTCAGAACATGTAGTAACTGCATTTTTTTTACAACACATAGCAAAGCCAGGCCCTTATTTCACTTCAGAATCCTAATACAGAAATATTACAGATACCTTATGGTCTTAATACAGCCATTCAGACTTCTGGGGCTGAAACTCTGAAGCTGAGTTTCTCTGAAAATTAGTTCCCGTATTTTGAAAAAAAAAAACCAAATCAAACTGAACCCAAACCAAAAAAACCCTAGCCTAGAAACAGTTCAGAGCATCTTGAGTTTAGGAAATAATAAAATAGCAAACCCGAGGATACTAAAATTTATCACACGTATAGTAAAAGCATTGCAAGTAAACATGATACACTGAAAGAAAGTCTGGATCTCTTAAACCATTCTAAACGAGTTGGGTGTGTTGTTAAAACTTTGTAACTGCCTTGCAAGTCCTCAGTCGAAGTTTTCTCATTCATGCAGGCAGTCCTAATGGAACAAGCATTACAATAAAAGCACCACAGCAAAGGTTTATGTGCTAAGTACAAACACGCAGATCTGTTATTATTTTCGAAGAGCAGTAAAACATCAAGTTGCCCAGTAAGAAAATGCACAGAGAGGTTCTAGGCTTGAGTTCAGAAAACTGGGTCATTAACAAAAAATCCCCAAAATAGAAAAAGATTTCCTATTTTTTCCCCACCCCAATATGAGTGGTTTCTTATCTCATTATATTTCAAAAAGGCTCAATCGTTTTAAAAACGAGACTTTTCTGAGTATATTGAAAACAGATGGAAATGAATCAGGGGGTTGAGGCAGAAAAAAGCTTTAATGAAGATCTATTTAAGCAATACTTTAAATAAATAAATCATTTATCTGAGAAACCACATCTTACAGAAATATAAATAATTATATAATGATCATATAAACTACATTTCCTGATGTAATTCCTGTCTTGCTGCATTTCCTGAATTATTTGTATTATGAAACAGTAGTGGGGCGCCATTAATTGATACGCAGTCAGTGCTATAGTTACCGTGCTAATTGCAGCTCTCCAGGCCCTCCACTCACAGCTCCTCCAGCCCCTTAACAATTGGGATTGATTGCACAGGAGCTATTTTTAGAATGAAATAGCAGAAGAGTTTGAAGAGCAGCAGACATTTTTGTGTGTGCTACAGCTGTTTTTGGGGGAAAAAAATTGTTGGATAAAAATGTTCTGAGTTGTCCTTTTTTTTTTTTTTTTTAATTCTGCTGAAGTTAGAGCTTCCTATTGGATAATTGATTTTGTAGCAAGTTGAAGCTGAGGTCAGTGTTGCACGACACAGAGGACATCCCTGGTGACATTGTTCTCAGAAGAGTAGCCCTTTTCCGAAGGAAATGGGACTGTTAAGGTTGACAGTAGATGAACTCTGGTGAGCCTGGTTCTATAGAAAGGCAATCCAGGAGTCAAGTTTGCAATTTAAAATAACAGTGATGAAAGGCAAGATTCATGATTGACTTTGTGGTTTTTTTTTTCCCTGACCCTGAAATGAAGCAGTCTGTTAACTGAGTGTTAGTGAGTGCAGGTCTGCTTCCAAGAACGCTTTAGCTGAGGGTAAATGGCCACAATTCCCAAGGGTCAATCGATGCTCAAAGGTGTGACTGGGAGGAGATACACATTCGGTTCATCCCAGATCGGCCTTTTGTTATTCCATCCAGCTCTCCTGCCTTGCACGGAGTTCAGCTGGGATAGATAAACAACCACACAGGATTTTGTTGCTAATCTACTATAGGAAATCAGGGCTGTCTTCTTCTTTGAATGTTTGTATAATAGAAGGTAAGGTTTATAGGAACAATAGCAAGCAGAAGTATGTAGGAAAAGGAATAATGCTTTATAGCTGAGGAAAAAAACCCTCGAGGGAACAAGCCTATTTTACCTTTGTAAAGTATTAATAACCTATCAACTGTTTCACAGTAAATTATATCAATAATAGTGATACCTTAGCACTGTCACACAGAACTGCATCAGCAAATTTGAAGTGTTGTACTAAGGAAGTGACTGTCCCCATTTAGCTGTGGAAGTAAATGAATTGGCTGTGGTTACACAGAAGCTTGGCAGAGTTAGGGAGAGAATCTGTGTTTCATGACTTCAGCTGCTTTTCCCTTTTCAATTTCATGCCAGAAAGCATTATGGACTTACATACCTGTAATGTGTCACCACTTCATAGCTGCTAATTCCCCTGGAAATGAGAAATGCACACGTTGGTAAATGCTGCCCATCTTTGTATCCCTTCAGAGAAAATACAAAGAAGAGACTTCCGTTTTTACTGTACAATACTTACTGCTTACAATACTGGCTTGCATAAAAAAAAAAAAATTAACAAAAATTGAGTAGTCAATCTTCCCAAAAAATGCTGCAAGAGATTTCTAGCATCTTTTTGTCACTGAATACATTCCAGTCTTACAAATGGTAAATTTAGGAGATAAATTGGATGATAAATGAACTTAGAAACATTAATTTCATATTAATATGAAATATTACTATCTTCTGTATTGATTTGTTTTACTGCAATCTTTGTTTTTCCTCAAATTACGTACAACTTGCTCTGGACTTACAAATTACCATTAGATAAATTACCATTTAAGCAGGTAGACTATAGTGTAAAGGCCTTCCTTCTTTCCTCCCAGAGTTTATGTTGGCACTTTGCTGTCAGGTACTTCCCAAGTGGGTATGGCCACTGCGCAGTGCAGCTGTGAACTGGAGTGGCTGAGTTTTGGATACACACCCTGCCTCTACACCTGGTGGGGCAGCAAACGGGGGGCAGTAACATTGGGGTTGATCTGCCAGTGCTCATCTGCTGCAGCCTCGAGGAAGGAGATGGTGTGAAGGGACAACAGAGAGTCTCGTTGTTATGGATGGAGGGAAGGATAGCTTGTGAATTTGCCTGGGACAAATCCAGGCTTTCAGAAACAAGGGAATACTTGAACACAGAAGAAAACATTTGAAGAAGAGGGTATGCTGCTGTGCTGCTTGATATATAATCCTCTCCAAACAAGGGATGTTGGCATAGAGGCAGAGGACTGAAAACTCTGTAAAACAAAAATGTTGCTTTTGGTGCAGCAGTGAAACAGAAGACATGCAGGATTCCAAGAGAAAAATAGAAAGGAAGGCTTATCATAGAATTACATAGAAAAATAAATAAAGGGTGACGTAGCTGTTACTCAGCACATTTGCGAACATATAAACACTTCTACAGAAATATTGTATAGCTTTTTTTTCTTTTGTATTTAACTGCTCATTCATCTTTGACTCCAAGAGAACATCACTCACTCCTTTTTATAACACGGTAACTTTCGATGGAGATGTAGATACTTTGTATCCTCCACCCCCTTCCCTGAAATCAGACGCACACAGGGCGAGCAGGGCTTATGTTGGCCTTCCCTGGCATATGTGTGGCTAAATATAGCTGTACGGAATGAACTTCAAGGCACAGTTCATATGTCTGAAGTCACACTGTGGCGAAGTGTCTAGTAAAAACACTTGCATGCAGATCAGAAGAAGAGGGCTTCGTTTTTACCTCCCGTGGTCATTGCTGGATTCGCTGGGAAAATTTCCAGCCTTTGTCACTGCTTTGCTCTGTAGGGCCGTGGGCAGCAGCTGACACGAAAGTTCTCTGTGGATGCAAATGGTTTTATTGCTGTACATCCAGAGTAAATTTGGTATTTCTGCTGTGTTTCCTGTTTGGGTTTTTTAAATTAATTTCTTTAGAAATAATTGCTCCAAGTGGTCATAGGTTTTTCACATTTACCCTGGAAACAGTCTTCAATCAAAAGAATGGATTTGCTGCATGATCATTATGGTGAGCTGTGAATTTATGATTAATAGAGAAATGTTTTCCTGGTATTTGTGTCTTCACAGAACACAGTGACATCTTGTGGCATGGGAAGGGCTACTGTCATTTTTTCCAGATCCATCCTCATTTCAGCAGGCTTAGAGATGAAAGTCTACACAAATTCTGGACAACTGCTAATGTGTTACTTTCATTTCTAATATTCACTCTTTCAATTTCTTTTTTTTAAGGACATGTTTGTTTTAAATATTTTAGTAGTGAAAAAAGACCAAGCCTTGGTTTCTACCATATTATGAATGTAGAGTGTTGGAGTTTATCACTCCAGCTCACCGATACTCTTTGGAAAACTTTCAGCTCCAGAAATATTCCTGTTCCAGCCTTGCTGATATAAGACTCTGAGAGTCAGAATTTCAGATGCTTTACATAAGTTAGTGTATTATCACAGATGGACAAAGCTGTCATGTTGCTTTTGATGGGACAGAAAAGAAAACACGGTAATATTTTATCACAAGGTAGAGACTTTTTTTTTTCCTTATCTTTCTTCTTTTTCTTTTTGTTTGTGTTTTTTTTTTTTTTTTTTTTTTTAACCTTAAACTACCTTTTGTCTTTTTGCTGACCAAACAGGGTTTAAGCCCTATCCCTGATGTTTTGGGACCCTCCTCTGACATGGCTGCCCTTTGCCAGTTGATCCTTGGATAAGATCCTAGTTGTCAGCATGAAAGGAAAAACTGAACACTGTGGCTGGAAATCTGCCCCCCAGGAGAAGCCCAGTCCCTGCGATGGATATAAACACGCCTGTGTCCTTTGCAGAGGGTTTGTTTATCTCCATGGAGGGTGAAACATGACCAGCCTGAGGGATTTTTGGTGATACAACATCGGTGAGTTGGTCCCTTCACCTGTATGTCAGGATTAGAGATTCTACATCCAGTCATCATGAGATTGGGGATATTCCATAGTTATCGGATTATCCCCTTAAAGTATCTCCATGAAAATGATGGATAAACTGCATTTTGTTCATTGGGTAGATGATGTGTGTTTGCTCTTGTTGCAAGTGTCCCAGAAAGTTTAGATTTTAGTTCAGTTCTTTTTGTTTGTTTGTTTGTTTGTTTTCTAGACCAGAAATATTGAGTCATTTAAAATATCCTGGTTCTAGCAAGGGATATCAAAGAGCTCTCCTGACTCTCTCATGCACAAATAGTTTATGCCTGTAAAAGTGCACAAAGGGGAACATATGAATACAATATCTTCTAGGTTTATATTAACAATGCCCTATCAAGTATGATTCTTTTTTTTTTTTTTTTTTTTTTTACTTTATATGTGGTCTTCTTGTACAGTTATTGTTACTGAAATAAACCAGAATTTTCCTGGAGTTCATTATCGTGGACTTGTTGAGTTTTGATGTAAGTAACAATTAAAATACATGCAGTAAGAAGATCAATTTCTATTACATTCAAATTTGCTAAATAAAAAATGCATATATTTAATTTTGGGGAACTTCTGAACTAACAGAGAGGAAAGATGACAAACCACTTCATTTTCCTCACTGAACTGGCAGCACAGCCACATTCAAAGCCCATCTTTTCACCTTTTGTCTAATGTTTATGTTGAGTGCACCACTTACCTTCAGCTTTGGTTTATAGTGAAAAATGAATGGGAAATGCTGGATTGCTCAGGAGATGGTCCAGAAGAATTGGAAGAACATTCAGTGGTGGCTTATAAGGTAGAAGACCAAGATTTATCTTATCCATATCCTCACATTTTATTTCCTACTATGCAATGCAATAAAATACCATAGATTATTATGTACTGAAATACCATACCCAGAAAATATTTTTGTGTTGGTGCAGTTCTGGATGTAGCTGTACCAATGTTTTGGAATCTTTCTGAATAAAGTGACAGTAATTTCCTCAGTCAGTGCTCAGTATGTAACAGTAATACAAGATAAAGACCTTGGCAGCACATTCTTTGACTTAACTGTACAGTTGTAACAGTTGCTCTGAATTCATTTGCATGATCAGCTATGGCATAAAAACATTCACTTAAGAGCTTGCATAGAAGAAGGATGGGGGAGTGAAGGCAAATAAGAATTACAGCCTGGCCTGTAAGGGGAAAACACAATTTAGGTTATCAGGAGCTGCAATGCAATGAAATATTTCTATAAAAATGCATAATCTAATATTACCTGAGCAGTGCCTCAGAGAGCTCCAGATCCACATCCCTGAAGCTGTCCCAAACTGACAAGGAAGTAAGTGGTTCTGGAATGCTGTCCCTGTTAAAACAGCAGAATGTTCATCAGGGTTTCCTACAGGAGAGAATAAAGACATAATTAAAACTTGGTGGCTTTATGGGATTGCCTCTTTAATTGTTAACAGATCATGATACACGTTACTGTTAATTATATTTTGGCAATAGCAGCCTTTTAATTTAGAAACTGTTTTTTAAATTGTTTTCAGTGACAAGTATTTTTCATTTTGCAGGGCAACCTGTATATTTTTGGTGGGATGGTGGATTCTGCTTTCATACAAGCAAAAACTCCTCTCTGGACATATGACGTTGGTATGATACACAATAACCACTTTTTTCCGTGGGACATTCCAAGTCCATAGATACTAATAAACAGTAAGAACCAAACTGTTTTCTGCTGCTTGTAGCATAGCCTTTCCCCAAGCTTTACAAGATGTAATGTGTGTGAAACTGTGTGCATATTTTCCCCATAAAATTATGCTGTTTAAGCTATCAAAAGGTCAGATCTTACTTCAATTAGAGAATTGAATGGGAAAGTTTTATGTACTTTAACGTCTCAGAATTTCCATTCCTCCCCTCTCCTTCTGAAGTTTACAATTTGATCATAAACCCCAATAATTCATGTAGTATTTAATTTTTTAAATGTTACATGAATTTTAAAAACCAAGGTCTTTGTTTTATTATGGAAGAAAGCAGATTAGTAAAGTACATCTCATTTTGTAATTTTACTGAAAAAAACACATAAGCTGGAACAGGAAAAATTAAGTATAATTAAATAAGACGGTGGGAAATTACCATCAACATTTTATAACGCAGGTTTTCTTCTCCTAAGAACAAACATTTTTGATGTTTTAAGTGTGTATTCTAACAAAAGCAGGGCAGCATTTGAATTTAACATCAATGTCATACATGATTGTGTTCTCCCTTTGGAAATCCTGCATATAGTAATGGCTGCTTATTTTGACATCAGATGGAGGAGCAAAGAGAGAGATACTGAGCTCTTTTTGAGCTAGGAAATCTTGTGACCAGACCAAGATTTAAGTTTCTGGGCTTCTTTTGCTACTTCACTCCGTAACCTTAAGTCGATGGGGTTTTTTCAACCCTTCATTTGTGTTTTCCACCATTTGTCTGAGATACCTGCTGCAAGAAGAGAGAGCCTGAGATAGAATATATTTTAAAGGAGAAAGCATCTTCTTACAGTATTTATCAGTGCTAATTGGGAATGAGGTATTCAAAATGGGTGCGTGTTTAGCTTTTTCATAGTTATTATTTAAAATCCTTTGGCAAATACAGCTTTAAGTAATGCAAGCTTGCACTGCTTTCTCATTCTACCTCTGGTGCTGGTACCTGATATTTCCTCTCTTTCATGGTGATCACAGATCTGTGATTTCTGACTGTTATTTGGGGGCTACCCTTAAGGGGTCTATGAAAAAGAACAAGAAAGAATAATGCTGTTGTCATAAGTAGAAGAAGTCACATATTCATCAGGAAATCTGGGAGTCCTGCTAGTTCAGAAAACGCTCAATATCACAGGTTATTTCTGCATTGTGAAATTTAGCCTTAGGAAACAGGAATACAGTATGGTACTTCTGTGATTCAATATCAGATAAGGATACAGGAAAATTACTCCGACTGTGACTCCTGCGAGTCTCTTGGTGCTGCTGTCTTAGCAGGGAGCAGATTTCTTCAGCCTTGTCAGTAGAAAATGCCAGGATGAGACTTACTTGAAAATTAGATCTGTAATTTGAAAAATTACTGTTGGAGGAGTGTCCTCTTGTGGTCCAAGAACTAAACTGCGCTTTATTAAATCAATCCCCTAGATTCCACAAGATGGACAGAGTGCCGTAACGTACCAGCAGAGAAGGAGGTAAGGAGCCAGGAAGTGGGGAATGTGTGAATCAAATGCCTGTTGCTTTGTTGATTAAACAGATTGCTTTGAAATATGTTCCCCCAAACAGTTCCAATCTCATCTCTTCAGAGACATGTGGCTATACTTTATTTCTTTGCACTTTCAATAACTAAGGCTTTTTCCTTCTTCAAAACAAGTGTTTAAAAATACTGCTCTTAAATTTTAAGTCCTATATAAGAAGTTAAGTCCTCTCCTCTGCTGCTGCTTCTGTTTTTCTGAAATCCTTATCAAGAATACTAATTTTAAATGGAATATTGCAACCATACGTGAAGCCTGTGCTTTTAAAAGTAGGGTTGTGAAAACAGATTGGCACTCACACTAATACATTTTGGAATGTGAAGTGCTGCAGCATTTTTCATTTCTTCAGTCTGAACACGTGGACTCACCAAGTTACTGCCACTTCTAATTGAAGCCTGGGTGGAAGCATTTATGTCTTGCTCTTTTGAGCTTGGTTTTACATCACTAAATGTAAAGAATCACTCATTTTTTGCTACTGAAACTTCATCCTCAAAATGTTTCTACGCCTTGAAATTACACACAAAAAATTATTAAGATGTGACACAGTTACTACTCTGGTTACCTGAGTTCAGTGTTAAGAGAAAGTCTGGGACTGCAGGGTCATTTTTGGGGAAAAGAAAAGGTGTATTCCCAAGACAGACATTGCTACTGATGACTTTACAGGCTTTTGTCTTAAACTGTTTTAGAGCTTGGCACCAGCTAACAGAAGAGGTCACAGTGCAGTAGTGTACCATTCCAGCATGTACATCTTCGGGGGATACTTTGGCATCAAAGGCATTTCACAGGAATTTTGGACTTTCCATTTTAGTAAGTTAAAAAAACAGGATAAGGTTTCGATCCAGTGTAAAAAAAAACCCAACTGCTGCAGGAGAGCCTGGCTTGCCCTGTTAAGAAAATTCTTATCAGTAGAAATGCTGTAAGTTAGTTTTGGCTGCTGTTCAGCTGCATTTAATGCTGAATTCTGTCAATTCAATTAATACCTGGCTGAAATTAGACTATTGCACTGGAAGCAGTTTTACAGTATTTGCCAGTTTTAGAGCTGAAAATCAGGGATAATGTTTTGTTCACTATTCACTAAATTCTTCAAGGATTACTAAAAACGTTCAGGCGCAGCAGAGGCCCTGACTTCAGCCTATTAATGCCATCTTTTGAGACTCAAATCTCAGACTGACCGTGGGGAGCCAAACCTTTCAGGAGATGGTTTCATTAGCACATTCATCACCAATCTAGTGTTGCAAACCAGATGATTCCCAGAGACTTCTTAAATGGACAACTTCTGTTATTTGGTGGCCATTCTGTCATTATTTTGAAACAAATGATGGGTTTATCTCATCCTTCTTTCCCTCACAGGAAGAATAAGCACAGACATTAATGAAGTTTTTGTTGACTGATTTTTCCCCTCTTACAGCCAGGAAAGTATCTTTCTATGTCAGAGTTAATGAATTGACAAAGCCATAGGAAAAACAGCTCTGTAAATAAAATTTCCACGGCATCTGTCATATAGCATCTGACATTTTCATTAAAAGTTTATTTCAAAACTGATTTTTTTAAATGCACTTTTTCAGTGTCAGAATTTAAGCTTTTAACTCATACTGAAATAAGCTTAGAGCAGAAACCTTTACTCTTCAACTGAATAGTTACTTTCTTCTTGAAATAAATCCCTTCTCAAATACTCAGGTAAATCTGAACCATTTATAACTAGTATTTTTCTTTCAGATACAGGAAAGTGGTTGTGTGTTTCCAGCCCATCTCAGAACACCGGTCCAGGACCTCGGCACGGCCATTCCGCAGTGGTTTATCCTACTGGAATGTACCTCTTCAGAGGACTGATGGAGCTGAGTGAGCGGAAGGACTTGTGGAAGTGGGACTTTGTAAGCAGCAGCTGGTCCAACATCAGAACAAGGTAAACTATTCTATGTGTTACACTAAATGAGCAGAGAAAGAAAGAATTAATCTTATCATTTGATACTGCATCAGGTGGAGGGGGAGGCAGTGCCCTTTTGGCGGATGTAGGAATTGTTCAGATCAAGATATGGTGCTGCTGCCATCCCTGGGGCTCCAGTTGGCTTTGCTCAGAAGAGCTGCTGGCAATGCGTTGATGCAGCTGTCAGCAGGGTAATTCTGATGTCCCAATGCAGCTGTTCAGCAGCCATTCTTCTGAGCCAAAAGGAAAACAGAGGCTAAAATCAGAGTTAAGTTTCTTGTTGGTCTTCTGTTAACTGCTGGTTTCTCTTACGTTTAGCCAAGGACCTCCTCCAGTGGTAGGTCATGCTTCAATAGTCTGCAAAGACTCGATGCTGATTTCAAATTCCAATCCCAACGATGACCTCTGGAAGTATCATTTCCATACGCAGACATGGAAGAAGCTTAGTAGTGTATCACTGCATCTTAGGAATTGGTGCTGATTTCCAAACTACCTCAGATTTCACTAATACATCCCCCAGCCACTAGAAGAATGATCAGAAGGACCAGGGCCAGGCGGTGTCCATCCCGAGGCACATTCGCTTTGGCAACTACTTCCACCAGCAGCCCATGGATGGGGTGTTGGGCAGCAAGGAGAGCAACGCCATTGAAATGAAAACCTTCAGCTTGCCTCTGGAGCCAGTGGGCTCCCGTGCATTTCAGAGCACCTCAGAGGCAGAATTAGACCCAGAGACACAAGCCTTTTGTTAAAGGACAAGTCTCTTCCTCTGTTTTCCTCTTCAGAGAGAGAAGCTTTGGCTGCCCCTCAGGTTGTGGGCGAAGAGGAGGGAGGTGACTCTGCGACTGCAGGGGATGAACTCGGCAGCCACACCAGCACCCTGCTGCTCACTGGGGGCAAACCTTTGTCCAGCTTCGCCGAGATCTCCTTCAGGCAAATGGAGTTCGATAGCTTGTGATCGCTTTGATTACAAAGTGAAAGAATAAATTTCCACCACCGCAGCAGTAGGTGGAAAACCAACTGCTTGCAACTGTCTTCAGCTTCCTATCAGCATGCTTGGGAAAAAAATAATTAAACCTTCTCATACTTGCTGTGAACAGATTTTTTACAATGTTAACGAAACCCAACGTATATTTAAGTCACAACTTGCATGTAAGTTGTGATTTCTGAGAAGAGCTTGTTGGAATGCTGCTCTTTTTGTTACTTTTGTTCTGGTCAGTTCATATCCTTTCAAATTGCAGTGGCTGATGCTGCCTCAAAAATCCGAAATACAAGTAACCCCTACTGGCTCCACAGCTGCCATTTCAGGGCCAAAGCTTGCTCATGTTGCACTGGCACTAGAGGGAAATCCGGTCACATTTGAAGGATTAGATTAATCTTAATGGTAACATTCTCTTAAATTTTTAAGGTTTTGTTTTCTTGAGTGTTCTTTGTACAATATATTTGCAACATGAGGTGATAGCCTTACAACAACACAGAAACCAAGTAAACAAATTAGCAAGTGAAATCTAGAAGATATTCAAGGATTGTATATAAACCATGAGTGCTCCCCAAAAATCACCTGCAGCCTTAGACCAGAGGAAGTGCATTATATCTAGAAGAACAAAGGAATTGCCAAGTGAGTGTTGGCTTTAATGACTGAGCACAGGATCAAAAGGGTTTGACTTCCCATGGTGGGGTAGGGGCGACAGAAAGAGAAGGGTTTGACAGAAGGGGTACAAAACATGGGCTGTTCTGACTGGTAATTCCTGTTTTAGCCACAAAGGGATTTCTGCTTTTCCAACTCCCATCTCTGTTTTGTCACCTCAGATAGCAGTCATTACACATTTCCCCTCCCAGTAAATCTTGAGTTCATGTATGACTTTCCTTTGCTGAAAAGAAAAATCATGTAGCCCAGTGTTCCAAGCATTTATTTCCATAGAAGTTACTACGATACTGGCCCTCTGACAGAACTTCAGCCATCTGTAAGAAATGCTGCTGTCTGAAACGACTAGAAACTATAGGTTAATACTTCTGAACATTTGAAAAAGATTGCTTTTCAAAAGTTTCATAGGAATAAAGGATTTCAAGAGAGAATGTTTACTTTTTATCATCTCCTCACAAGTAGCTGTCACATGAATTCAATGGGCAAATTATAGATGAATTCGCAAAAAGCTACAAGAGTTATTTGGACCATCCGTGACCCTTGTTTGGAAACAGAAAGGATTGTACTTTTCCACTTAGATAAAGCCTGCTTTGTTTCCTATCAGTGTGTGCTCTTTTTCTCCACTTTCATGAATCTGAAATACGTATTTGTGTTTTCAAACTGAACAAAGAACTTACCTTTCTGAACAAGGAACACGATCCCACAAGCCCCAGTCATCTCCTAGCACTTCAGCCAGCCCAGGCTTTGAATTTCTGCTCCAAGAACAAGAATTTCCCAGTTTGAGGAGGTTTGTTCAGAAAGGACTTCAATACAGCAAATGAGCTGAGCATGTACTGAGCACTGCAATCTTAAATCAGCAGCTTGTTTTCCTTTTGCTGGCTGACATGTCTGTTTTGGCATTATCCTGAGAGCTGCCATAACATACAGGCTTTTATCAAGGATTGACAAGGGAAGGAAATGTAACTGGAAAGGGCAACAATAAACCAGTGACTTTTCCAAGTCACGCGAAGGCCTCCTGGCAGGTAGAGGTATCCTGGGGATGTGCAAGAGCCCCAGGAAAATGCCATCCAGCCTCTGTCATTCCTCTCTTCCTCCCCCCTCAAACTCTCTTCCCTTTGGCAGCCCCACAAAGGGTTTAACATTTACTCAGAGCCAACGCAGGCGGGACATGAGCCAGCCCAAAGGCAATGGCTTGGCACGGGGAGGAAAAAGCAGCTTGCAGAGTGTGCCCATCTCCCCATCTCCTCCCCTGGCCTCTGCCCATGTGCCAAGTCAGGTGGCTGCACCAGCACCTTGGGCACCACTTCTTCATCTGAGATCCCAAACCTCTCAGGCTGACCTGATGCCATAAGGGCCCTTCTGTTCCTGCCTCTGCACAGGACACCAGGAGTGCAGGGGCTTGGGGAGGGGCTGTGCCTGGATAGATGTGGGCTCAGGGCTTGCTTGTGGGAGGACGAGCGGCAGTTGGCCCCAGCAGTGCTGTGGAAGGGAAGAGAGATCCTGAAAGTGGAGTGCTCTGCTACAGCAGCTTTGCTGAAGCCACTGGAGGCTCTTTTTCCCCTTGCTGGCCCGTTCCCAGGTCTTTAAAAAACAAGGGTGACCTCAAGCTGGAAGGGATGGGGTTTGGGATTTAAAGTGAGTGCATCCCACAGCTGCCCACAAGAGTGCCTGGCACCTCAGTTCCTTCTCAGCAGGCATGGCCCATATTTCAGGTTCTCTCCCAAAAACCAGTGTCAGGACCTAGGCACACAATCCTTCCTAATACCACTGTATGACATTTCCTGGGTCATCTCCCCTTTCAAAACTCAGCCAATGCCGTCAGCTACACCAACAGGGCTTTCGGAGCACCTCAAGTGGCGTCACTCCTGTGTGCACACCACAGAGAAGAACCTTTGTGCATGTGCTGACGATATTTCTCCATAACTGTAGCAGTTAATGAGAATTCATCCCAGGCCCAAGCAAGTGACTAAAACCTGCTGCCATCTGAAAGCTCGGTGGTGGCCTGCATGAAATAATGAATGGAATCACTCCAGCTAGTGACAAATATTTAGAAACAAAACAAAGCACACCATTTTTGGCTGGGCATGGACTGAAGGGGCTGCCACTGAAGCTTGATTGTTTTAGAATGTCTCTGAAAAACAGAGAAGCTTGCACATATCTAACATGCCCACAGTAATTCAATCCATGGAATAAAAGCAACAGGATGCAGTGTTCTTGGTAATCTCATTTGAGGCACAAGATGTGCTATTGTATCATAAATTACATATCTAAGAGAACAAATCGATCAGCTTTAAACAAATCGATCAGCTTTAAACACCTCAACAAACTCATTTGGTTTCTGAACATTAAAATGCATGAATGGCAGAAAGATTTTCTTCTAAAATGTAGCTATTCTCGGAGGTTTTTTTCAATTAATAATAGAAAAAACCTGTTTCATTGGTTTGAGTTATAAGTGAATTTAAAGAACCATTCAGTGACATATCAGTAGGACTGCAGTTTGACCTACACAACAAATTGTGCCGCAAGGGAAATTACTTTCCATGACCTTAGTCATTTGGATGGAATTTTTTTCTCTTCCTTTTGATACTTTTATGAATTGTTGAGAAATGAAAATGATTCAAATGGTTTAGTTGTCCTTTGCTGCCTTCTTAAGCATTTCACCAAAGCTAGGGTTTGGAAATAAAACCTTTCCTTTAAACAATCATTAGTATTACTGTAGTTCAAACACAAACCAGTCCCTTGTTGGAGATAAAAGTGGGTTTGCTCAGTTAACTGGCCTGCATGCTGTGGAACCACACTCAGCAGCTCAAGCTTCCTCTCTGGGCGCACGCCTCGGTACTTTGGTTTTCAAAACCACTGGACACCTGACAATCCTCCTGGCCAATCCCAGCTCTGTTGGAAAAAAGGCATTTCATTCTTTAGCATCTACCTGCAAGTTTAGGTGCCACCTTAAATTATGCTTTAACGGATGACAAGCCCCGTCATGACCCACCTTTTACTGCCGTACCAGTGTAACGCAGCGGTGCTTAAAGATGACTCTGCAAGACTTTTGCACTGATGTGGTATATTTAAGACAAAACTACAGTATAAACATTTCAAGACTGGGTTGAGTGGACTACAAATCTACTTGTTCCCATGTACAGTTTCAATACAGTTCTCAGTGCAGTGGCTAAGACAGTTCATACATCACCAGTGTTGTGAAACAGAAGCAAGAGGGTGCACTTCGTTTTATAAAAAACCCAACAAATAAATTATACATTGAGAGCTATTGCCAAGCTTTACATATAAAAGGTAAAAATACAGTAGTTAGTGTGGCTTTAACAAAAAATATCTAGCTAAAAAAATATTCATTCTTACATACTTTAAAAATAAGTTTGTCCAGTTATGGGGGGGGGGGAGGTGTGTTTATGAAACAGAGTGCTCCAAGCCAAGCAGTCAAAAGGTGAGTTTTGTAGGAGAATCTTGCAGCTCCCTGCTGGGAAAGGGGGTCCAGCAGTGCTGCAGGGGCAGTGCCCACCCCTCACGGGCTCTCACCAGGCTGTGCTGACCACCTGGATCAACCCCCTGAGCACTGCAACGAGCCACTGCAGCACCCAGTGGGATCCCGCTGGCTCTGCCTCTGTGAGGGCAGCGCAGGCAGGGCCCTGAACTCACATCTGTGGGGCAACACTCAGACCAAACACATGGATCACGCCTGCATCACTGAAAGGCCATTAGCATGGGTTGTTTCCATTTTTTGGTTTAAAAGTTATGATTGTCCAGCTGCATTTGAAAGCAGTGATGTTACCATGTCTAACAGCTATATATATATATATGTACTACAACTTTCTAAACTAAGAAGCACTCTATGTGCCTAGATAGTGCTTTAAATGCTAGCTGGCCATGAAACAGAGGTGCTAAAACTTCACCAGTAGATTTGGGGTGTACCAGAACATGTTCATAATATGAAAAATAACATCCAGTGCCACTTGGGAAAGACACACTCCTCCTACCAGTACTTCTCTGCTTCATGAAATGAGAATGAGCAGGGTGCAGACAAAGACAGAGCAGGCAAGGACTGGAAACAGTTTGGAGAGAGAGACCCAAACATAGCTGGACTGTTCACCTGAGCTCCTCTAAGAGGGCTGCAAATTTTCTTGCCAAAGTTGTGTCCAAAAAATTGTCCGAAATGGAGTTGTTACACAGCTGTCTGTCTTTGACAAAGTATGAGCGGAATTTAAGTTCAAAGTCAAACACATTCCAGCTAATTCATTAGCCATGACTGATTAGCAGGTAAGTAGATATTTTATGTCATATAATATACCTGATATTAAATGCCATTACCACTGAATTAATGAAGAGATTCCCTTACTTCCAGTGTAAGAAGGCCTGAACTCCCATATATTAATACTCAAAAGCCTGGAAACACACACAGGCTGATGGATTAAATGGATGAGACTGAAATGCATCTCCCCAAGGTTAATCAGTTTGAGATATGGGCTGGGGCGTTGTTACTATAAATGTTAAGATTTCTATAAAACCTTTTACTCCAAACACTTCAGGAGTGTGACTGGAGTAAAATTACTTTTAGATCCAATCCCTTAACATGCATTAATTCATTCCTGTCAACTATTAAGTGGTTGGCAGACCTGCCAACATCCTGATACCAGATTCACACAAAAGTTTTATTTATAAATCTCTTTAAATAAATACCAAATAATAAACTTTAAGAGAATGCTTGGACTCTATAGCCAATCAATCAATAACATAGCAATGGTCAGAAAATCCTTTTTTCTCAGTAGCATAAAAGCATTAATTAGTACTTTATAACACTAACTGTAGGAACAATTATCCCTATTTGTGTCTGATAAGATGCAGGTGCTGAGCAATGCCGTGTTACCTGCTAGCCAGTCATGACACAACACAATACCTCTAGTTTCAAAGCAAAACAGTGATGCCAAATTGCAGCATGTTCAGATCACAAATCTGTGACCTTGGTCTTGCCAGGCTTCCTATACAAGCAATGATTTGGGTTAGCTAAGTAAGCTACATTGATTTAAATGGAGTGAATGTTTGCTCTGAGTATAATCAGGTATCAGAATTGGGTTTGTAGCTCCAAATCTATTAGGAATTGCAAGTTCCCAAATTAACAGTTGAAATTTTTGAATTTCTAAATAAAAATTTTCAAACATGAGTGTCCTCTGAAAATTGAGGAAAGCCTCACCCTTTGAAATTTGTGTATGAGTGAATGTGTGTAATTACAACATTCCCCTCCAATCACCACTATCACAACCATGCTGAAAAACAGTTGGCTACTTGGTACCATTTAGATTTTAGGGGGACACACTCACCACACGTTATTTACTTGTTATTTGCTGTATGTGATTGCCCGGGAGGAATCCAAGGCTGGTATTCAACATGCAGTGCTGTAAAACTGTAAACTTCTGTTATTCCACTTTTGGGAGGGATTCAAGCTGACAGTTCGCAGAGCTCCTGAACCCAATGGGAAGAGTCAAATATCAAACATGCCTAAGAAAATGCTACTTCATTCTGTCTATTTACAAACCCAACACATGTAGCTGGTGAATGCCAGCTCAGCTGCTGAGCAAACAGATCAATAG